GGAAGGAAGGATCCCAAGTTGAGGGTCCTTATACTAAGGATGCGGCTCCTTACAGTATGTGTAGGACTACGTACTTGTGTATTTACAGAACTCCTCCTAAACCCTAAACCATCTCTGTTTTGAGTTTGTGACCGAGCATCGAGTTTCATAGATGCGCGGCTTGAAAGGCTTCACATCAGAGTTCGGCAGGATGTCTCCATCCGGAGGTATTTCGAAGAAGAAATCCTAAGGATCCGGAATTCGAGGAGGGTGGGAAGGTGCAAAAACGAAGATCATCTAGACGACCACAGGTGTGAAGGAGAGTAAGAGCAATGTCAATCTAGTCGTAGTGTTCTTGACTTCAACTTGTCTTAGCTAGTGCGGAGCTGCAAAGTTCGACAAACACGGTATAGCGACTGGGACGAACTTCGAGGAACGTCTCGCGCACTCCAATGAGACATAGTGCAATCAGAGCCTCTCCGATCCATGTGGTGGTATGTTACTAGTTCATGTCGCGCACTGTATACACGCAGAGAAACGCACATGAACCATGTTGAGTTGATTGCTTCGCAACGCTCCAGACTCCAAACCAAGTCAGGGTGCACTGGCCGTCCAAAGGTCATAGTCGAAGTTGTAAGTCGTGAAGGAGACAATCACGACGCGCGTAGCGACATCATCGATCCACTTGTTGACTCGCAAGTAGTCCAGGTCACGTCCTGGCAGCGACCCCCTGAAAACCCCATCGTCTCCCCAAATACTCACTTGCAATCCTGTCTCAAGCGAAAATGTCTAATGTTGGGGTCCTTTGAACCCTCAACTGACAGCCAAAGCTTCCCGAAGACTTCACTTTCATCCCTCCCGCAAGAAAATTCTGGCAGCGGCAGACACACTGCTTAATGACAGTCTCACTCACCTTGTAGCTATCGCCCAGTCTTTGTGATTCTTTGTGCTGTTCAGGCTCCAGGCTACACTCATTAACAAGGCTTCAACAAACGGGCCTATGGCGCATGGTGACGTCGCGGCCAGGGTATGTAAAGAAAGGCATTTTACACCACACCACCATTACGCTGAGTGTCACGTCGGTTCGGGCGGAAGCACTGCGTCAGTGCATGACTGGTGCCCCAGCTGATAGCCCTATCAAGTAACATTGAACCCTGAAGCCGCAAACCGCAATGCAGCAGGGCGTCGGTACTCAACCATGGCGGTTCCTGGGTTAGAGACCGTCATGCGGTAGTCCACGCTGTAGCCGCTGGCATCATAGTTAGTTATACCTGGGTTGCTCTTGGGGCCCCTCCAAAGATTGTAGTTCTTGCGCTTTGTTGCGACTATACTATGTCAAGCATCAAGAAAATGCTTCCAGAACCGCCCGGATACGGCCCGAGATTTCGCCAATGCTGTGTTTGTCCTTTGCTCAGGCCAGTCAGTACAGGTGCCCCAGTGTCTGTCGCATGCTGCCTTCGTCCTAAACACTTGGGATAACATGAAGTTTGTGAGTGAGGACGGCCCCCCTGACCCTAAACCGTAAGTCGCATCGAAAATGCAAGGCACCTTGTTCTCCGTCGCCGACCTTTGCAGTGACAGATCACGACGGCACAGAAAACACTACGGCTAACAGCAAAAAACGAGTTCAATGCCTTATGATTCAGAGTTTGCTCTTTAGTTCTGGTTTCAAGTGCGCATAGTCCACCAAGACCAGATCAGCTATGCTGAGGTCCCGGCCTGAAAATGCCTGGGTTGCTGATCCCCCGCACGTTCGCACTTTCGTCTAGATCGGCCGCGTTGGCTGTCACGTTCCTTGGGCCAGAATCTCAAGTAAGGGCGCGTGTACAGAAACGGGGGTCCTATAGCCTTCACTCCCGTCATCCGCAAGTCACAAAACCATTCTTGAGTTGCAAGCGGCTGCCAATAAGATGCGATATCCGTGTACTGTGCCGTCTCTTGCGTGGACGCTGTAATGGTCCGCGGGTAGCAGGTGATATTTGCTCCTCGGTGTCTTTGCAAGTGTCGGAATCGGTTCAAGAGATTTCTAGGTAAAAGCTTCGAAGTGCCAAAAAGGTTGCCCACCTTACATGCCCGGAAATGAGCTAAACCAGGAAATAAGCAGTCATAAACTGCATACTTGTAAGCAACCATGGCGCCGGGCAGGTCCGCATTCAGCGCCGACACCAGCTGTAAGTTCTGGACCTGCAATCACTCTTAATATTAATAACCCACGCTGTTGCGTGGATTCGTCTTCTTGACGTGATGGCTGCTCCAGTCTAATTTTGGAGCCCCACCATCCAAACTGCCTTGTTACCCAGAGACTGCAAAAGCCCTTCATCCATGAATGTTCCTCGCGTTATACTTGGATTCCTTAACGAAGTATCATACCTTAAACGCTGCCCCCGGATGCCCACGGTACCGACATGCGGCCCAAGAAGTTTGGCAACAGAATCACATGGGGCCGTTGTTTAGGGTTTAGGGCCGGATTTGTTCTGAAAGGTTGCTGGGTCCTGATCATGCCATGCCAAACCCCGCGACCTGTGGTAGACCAAGCTATCGTTACCACGAACCAAACCCTACATCCAAATCCCAATACCGAACCACTAAACCTCACAGCTAGCCCAGGAAACGCGTCAAAATGCCAAGTCCCAAGTCGTAAGGCAGACGAGCAGCGCAGTACTCTGTTGAAGTAGGGGTCTTCACATTCCTGAAATGCTTCCCGTAGAACTGCAGCTACGCAGCTATGAAGCAGGCGACGAATCAGATAACATACTTCTTAAGACCCCCAGGGCCAAACCCTCCCTAAACCCTAAACCCTAAACCCTATAAATCCTAAACCCTAAATCCGAAACCCTAAACCCTAAACCCCTAAACAGCAACCCCGGGGCCCTAAACTTCTTGAATGGGCTGAAAGTAATAGCACATCAAAGAAGGGTAGTTCTCGAAATGAGGGTTCCCTTTTGGGGTCCCCATATAGTACGACACCCTGATAAACAGAACCCTAAAATGGACCCCTATTTGACCCCTATTTAGAGAACTATCCCTATGGTGTTCCACGCAGGGGTCCTTTTCTAGGTAGGTGGAGCCTCAGGGTTCGGTAAGCTCTGCAAGTCTTGAAACTTCTTGTACTCACCAAGGACGGCTTCTGTGGTTCAGTGCGTGAGGATCTATCAGGGCATGTTCGGGCCCTGAAGATCAGCATTTCGGGCTTGAAGGTCCGAGAGAACAAACATCCGTCTCCAGGCTGGAAACAGGAATTACCAGCTAACACCTCAAACGAAAGTGCAGTACATCCGGGTGAGCAGGCACTCCTGGCCATCGAGACAACGTCCGACATGTGCGAATGGGGAAAGAGGTGGCAGGGCTGAGGGTACTGTAGGGGCCATGATAACTAGAATAGGATTTGGGGGTATATTATACTATATTTAAAATTATAATCAGGAACCCCCACAACGCTATTCTCATTATTAAGGCCCCTGAATTAAGCCACAAGAATTGAGTTGGCCTGTCAGACCAGTGGGTTACCACAAAAGAAACCTGCATCGATCAGAACACCAGCGAGGGCAAACCTCCAGACTCACAGAACATGCGTCAAAAGTGTTATTTGAGTGGAAAATGCGCGGTGAACAGTGCAGAAGCACAGAGAGAGAGAGAGAGGGAGAGAGAGAGACAGAGAGAGAGAGAGAGCGAGCGAGAGCGAGAGCGAGAGCGAGAGCGAGAGCGAGAGCGAGAGCGAGAGCGAGAGCGAGAGCGAGAGCGAGAGCGAGAGCGAGAGCGAGAGCGGGAGTGAGAGAGGGGGCGAGGAAGGGAGGGAGGGGGCGATTGGAGAGCAATTGTGGATGTCCTTACATTGACATTAGGACACATGGTAGACTCCTGGGCGCCGAAACTGGTCTGTGAGCTCGCTTGAAGTTGTGGATATGCACAGACGAAGCATGCTGGATACACTGCCCTGCATACCCCTGCACTCTAAAACCCCCCAACCCCCCTATAAATCCTAGGCACTCTGAACACCCCAAACCCCCTCGAATCTTCTTTTGCAGGTGAGGAGCTGCACACGAATGGACATGTATCCCAACAGCTCCTTGGCTCTTGTCGTCGAGCAGTCCCCAGGAAGAGGGTAGGTCCTATCATCATAAAAAAGCTCCCTATAGCTGATTATAGCAAAGTGATCGAGTCAGCTAATACTTGGGTAGGGTTTGTCGCATGGGCTGGCGGGTATGAGGCTGATGTTGGCTGGAACCCCGAAGAAAGCGCAGCCCGAAAACAGCCTAGACTCGTTGTAGCTGGCGAGGGTTGGCAAACTTTCGTCGTCATTTACGACAGACCAGAACACGCTCGGCAAGGTGTAGTTGAGCCAGTTCCACATCTCGTCCCGTGTCTGGATGCCCTGAAGCGAAGCAGAAGGATGCAAACAACATGCAGACATGCAAGCCCAAATTTACAGTAAGATCAAACAAGTATTATACATAGATGTTCGCAGGAACTTGACACAGCAGCCCGCGAACCGCCAACAACAACAACAACAACAGTAACAGAAAACCAACACCAACGGCAGCAGCAGCAGCAGCAGCAGCAACAGAAACAGCAGCCGCAGCAGCACTGGCGGGGGCACCGGAATCGGAATCGGACACGGCAGCGACAGCAAGCACAACATGGACAACATGGACAACAACAGCACCACCACCACCACGACCACCACCACCACCACCACCACCACCACCACCACCACCACCACCACCAACAGCAACAACAGCAGCAGCAACA